CATCTAAATAGCTAGCAGGAACAATCGACTCAAATCAAATCTAAGACAGAAAACAAACGATTTTTTTAATTACGGAAATTGTTTTATTATTATTTTTAAATACTAGTCAAGTGCAATTGTTCTGTTGGTGGTGGTGGGGTTTTTTTTGTTTTTGTTTGTTTAGCCTTCTTCCCCTCTTTTCCTTTCAGGGCCTCAATTTTCTGCAGACTTCACCTATCTTGACTGTGGACCACTTCTTTAAACAGGAACCAATGCATTCACTTGCCTACACTAACAATCATATTACAGTCACAGGCCATTAACTGTCACTCACATTTTTATTACCCTGCATCTGATGAACACTGATACACTTGAGCGTCTTCCTCTGCACTGGAAAAAAAAATAATAATTTAGGTAGAATTCTAAAAGTTAGCATGTTTTGTCAATAGTGTCATTGTTCCTCATGCCCATTCATCACATTTGTTTGCTATTGAAATCCTCCCTTGCTTTGTAACATTATTAAAGTCAGTCATTATTAAAGTAGTCTCAAAAAAGATAGCTCTGTAACTTCTAAGATGTTGTCAACCAGGAGTCATATTTTCAATACTTCAAATTCTATTGTATTTTCAAGCTTTGGAAACAAATATATTCTTGCATATTTTCTAAGATGAAATTTTATGTAGACAATGATGTGATAGAAAAGACGATGCTTATCTAATGATTTTGGCATTGCCCCTTGATAACTATGACACTAAGAAAACCAGCATTGATTTTCCTGTTACCAGAACAAACTACAGTGCGTGTTCTAGAGTCCTACATGTCTTACACTGAGAGAGAAAACTCACTGGGAAAAAAAAAAAAAGTTATTAGTTATATTTGTATTCATCTAGTTTCACTGATATATCTTTAAGTTATAGATTTTTTATAACAATCACATATGGATGGGTGTAGTGGCTCATGCCTGTAATCCCAACACTTTGGGAGGCCAAGGCAGGCGGATCACGAGGTCAAAAGATCGAGACCAGCCTGGTCAACATGGTGAAACCCCGTCTCTACTAAAAATACAAAAAAATTAGCCAGGAGTGGTGGTGCGTGCCTATAGTCCCAGCTACTCAGGAGGCTGAGGTAGAAGAATTGCTTGAACCCAGAAGGTGGAGGTTGCAGTGAGCCAAGATCATGCCACTGCACTCCAGCCTGGACAACAGAGCAAGATTCCGTCTCAAAATAACAACAACAAAAATCACATATTTTTTTACAAGACCAACTTAAAGGATTCTTATATTGCTTTCGTTTTGTTTTTCAAGAAATCTAGATTTAATTCCAGCTTTATGAAAAGGCAAAAAAAAAAAAAAAAGCACAAATAATTCCACAGTTCCTAATTTTCCAACCCTTCCTTCAGTAGGCATTACAGATAATTTGAACCAGATAGTTTAAATTTTTGATGGTGCAGCTAAGTGAATAAGCATCTATCCATAGAATGCATGCACTGTTGCATCATTTTCAGTTAAATATATGACCAAGATGCCAAAATATGACCACAAATGCGAAGCTGCTATTCTGAACATTTGGAACAACTATAGCTCATTTTTCATTATGTGTTGATGTTTTGGTATAAAAATACTGAGGCCGGGCATGGCGGCTCATGCCTGTAATCCAAGCACTTTTGAGGTCAAGGCGGACGGATCACCTGAGGTCGGGAGTTCAAGAGTAGCCTGACCAACATGGTGAAACCCTGTCTTTAAAAAAAAAAAAAAAAAAATACTGGCCGGGTGCGGTGGCTCAAGCCTGTAATCCGAGCACTTTGGGAGGCCGAGGAGGGTGGATCACGAGGTCAAAAGATCGAGACCATCCTGGTCAACATGGTGAAACCCCGTCTCTCCTTCTACTAAAAATACAAAAAAATTAGCTGGACATGGTGGCGTGTGCCTGTAATCCCAGCTACTCAGGAAGCTGAGGTAGGAGAATTGCCTGAACCCAGGAGGCGGAGGTTGCAGTGAGCCGAGATCACGCCATTGCACTCCAACCAGGGTAACAAGAGCGAAACTCTGTCTCAAAAAAAAAAAAAAAAAAAAAATACTGTTGAAGCAGTTCATGAATACTCTTTACCATTTAATCACAAAGAAATACACTCGGCGTGAACATGATTGTTTTATTGGTAACCAAAAATCCTTGGCAAAGTGCATGCAAGGTGAAGAACGAAAGTCAGTCCTTGACAGTTTCCCGACTTCAATGAAAACCTAAGACATGGGTCTAGATTTACAGATTACACATTAAGAAAAAGCCTGTGCATGATGTATCTGCTGTGTGCGTATTCATATGTGGAAAAGAAAGCAAGCCAGAGAGAAAGTGTGGAAGGGCACAATTGCCAAAAGTTATTGCTCCTAGGAGATTTATTATTGGAAAATGGAGAGACAGAGAATTCAGCACTTTTCTTTCTAGTGACAATACAATGATAGAAAGAAAAAAAAAACTGACTTTAAAAAAAATAATAATTTACCTGTAGAATTTCTTGTCTTGGACTAGAGGGAACACCATCCCCGTTACATGTGTATATATATCCAGATGTATACACACATTTTTCTCTTCTGAAATTTTTATCTCAAATCTCTTTCAGTCAAAATGCATTGAGCTTCAAACAGGAACTGGGTGAGAGGGAACCTTTTTAAAACTGTGCTCAACTCAGCAAATGCTTTAAAAGTGAATTAATGAGTAGTATCCTCAATTGCATAAACATGCTCCAAGACTGACTGCCTCTCTACATTCTGATTCTGAAAGAAAGTGTTTGGGCTTTTAAAGAAGGAAGAAGAAAAAGCCTTCATCTTTCCTTCCCTCCCTTCCTCTCCACAATTTAACCAAGCAATTTTTTCTAGGTTCATATATGTGTATATATATATATATATATATATATATATATATATATATGTATGTACACACACACACACACACACAATAAAGCTCTTCCTCCTTCTGTCTTTCTTCTCTCTTCTTTTCCTCTATCTCCAGGACCACAAGTTTGACTAAAAATACTTTTCCACAGAGAAGTCCTAATACATCAACATAGGAAGGAGACACCCACTATCCCAAGACTCAGCCCACCTGGCCTAGATGGGCCTAGATTGGCCTAGATTTGGAGTATTAAGTCTGATGCATGGTTTATCTGGTGAGCGTTCCCCAACCCACTTCTCAAGGCTTTGCTTGCTTATCTAGGGGTTTCCGGAGGCCCCCCTGCACACCCCAGAAGAGCGCAAGGTAAGTCGAGAGTTTGCCCGGGTGCTGGGTGATGCGCCTAGCAACTTCTGCTTTTCCCCCTGGGGAAAACTGTGACATTAGAAAGTTGTCTGTGATTTTTCTGGTTGGCCTGGAGGTTTCCTGAGCCCCTGGACAGGCGACCTACACTTCAGGCCTGGTGCTTGGAGGAAACCTAGATTAGCAGACAAATCAACGCGCACCACACCCTGCGCCCCAACATCCAAACACCAATATGAGTCCTTCAGGCCGAGCGAAAAAGCGCGGGCCCCTTGCAAGAAGCATATGGCCTCGGCGTGACCCGTGGAGAGGAGGGACCCCAGTGGAAAGCGAAGCACGGAATAGCCTGGGAAGGAGCGTGGTGAGAGGGGCACAGGCCAGGCTGCCCCATGCGCGCTGGGGTTGCTGCCGCGCTTCCTGCGCGCCCCATTGCCCCCCCCCCCAATCCCCAAGAGAGCAATCATGAGCGCGGATCAGTTTCCCTTTTTTCAAGAAAGCTAGCTTTTTATTGAGGAAAAACTTAGCTGGAAAAAGTCTGCTCGTGCGTTTGTTTGGGTTTTCTTCTATTTGCCTCCCAATTTAAAAGTGGCCGCCTAGGCGACAGGCCTGCGGTTTTCACCGTGTAAAACGGATTAGAGGAAAAGCTCCAGCCCCTCTCGACTTTCGCTTGCGGTTTGCAACCCCTGGGGTGGGTCTGACCCCGCGCGGCACTTGCCCAGGCTAGCTTCCCTCGCGGTGGCCCGACCCCCGTGCAGACTCGGCTTCCCGGGTGCTGGACCCGCTAGGTGGGCCGCTCGGCCCCAGGCCTGACAGGGCGGAGCCAAGGACCTGCGCCCCGGGGGAGGGAGGTTCCCACGGTGCCTGGAAACTGCCCATCCCGGGCCCACAGCCCTCCTCCCTTCCCCTGCGCCCTCGCAACCGCCCTCTGCTCCGCGGCTCCCGGTAGTACCTCTCCTGGACTTAGAGGAGGAATTTAGAGCAAAAAGAAGGGAATTCACTGAGGATGGCACAGGAACCTGGGTTGGCTTAAGCATTTCCTGCTCTCAGGGCAAGTAGGTTTCCCCTAGGAATCTGGAGTTCTCTGAGGACACTTATTTCCAAGAGATGCTGGGTTCACATACACATACTATTTAGTTAGAAAAAATAAAAGAAAGAAAAAAAAGAAAAAATTGCACTTCGATCTTCTCCAAGTTCCTCGATATTATCAAATAAAGCACGTCGACGGGAGTGCGCTGCAGCTTGGGGCCCGGGAGGTGCGCGAGGCGAAGTTACCCTGCCGGTCCGCGGCTGCCCCAGGCTTCTAGCACCGCACCTGCCTACGAGTTTTCGGGGTGTGATCGCCTAAGGCGATCCCGGCTCCACCGCCCAATTTCACCATAAAAAACTTGGATCCAAGAGAACGACGGATGTGGACGTGCCAACCCTCCGCTACCCTTTCCTGCTGGAGTTCTGCTTTTTATAACCGAAAATAAAAGTTTGGTTTAGGCTTAAAGAAACGCCATTCTTGTCGTTTCTCCCTGAAGCGGGACTTACGCATCCTCCTATACTCGCAGGGAATTTTCAATCTAGCCTGTCGAAATGTCTAGAGGAGCATCCGCCGAAGAGGTCCTGCAGGTACTAGGGCCAAGGGATCAAGCTGCAGGGTTCTGCACACTCCGGCCGTTCTGGACGGTCAGGCCCGCAGCTAGAGGGAGACCTGCAGCGGGTGGAGACCCGGTTGCGGGCAGAGAACCCCGACAGCTGCGCGCGCGGTCTGGGAACCCGGCGGTGCCACCTTAAGAGTCGGGTCTGCGCCGCGGCTGCGGAGGCGCCCAGCAGCTGCAGGGGGCGCTGATGCCCCGTGGTTTCTCCAGCGTCACCGCTTGCAGCGGGCCTGGCAGCTCCCGGGCCCCTATCCCCGGAGGGGGTGGGGACGCTGTGGGAGGAAGGGAGCGGAGTGCAGCCGTTAGGTAAGGAACCCGAGCCCTCCCGGATTTAGAAGCGGCCTCAGTGAGGCGTTTGCAGGAGGGAGCTTTCCATCATTCGGCCGCGAGAGGAAACGCGGGGAGGCGCACTCCCCTGCCCCCACCTCCTGCCTTCCTGCCTCCCTCCACCTCCGCTCCCAGACCCCGACCGTGCTTCCCAGACCCTTTGTTCTCAAGGTTGGGAACGGTTGGGTGGGGGTTCCCCGGGGAAGAGGTACCCCGCGCCACTCATAGGGGAAGGGACTGTCGCCTTCCCAGCACCCTAGCCCTCCCCAGCGCCGTCCCCCTCGCTCCCGGCCCCTTCCCTCGCGTCCAAGCGCTTCCGACTCCCCCAGCTCCGGAGCTCCGGCTCCCGAGCCTGCAAGGTCTGCATGCCCGCCTCCCTTCCCACCTCCCCCCCACCTTCGAGGTCCCCGGGAAGAGGGGAGGAAAGGGAGACGTGAGGGGGAGGAGAAACCACAGATCCTTCTCAGCGCGGAGTATCCCCAGGGACCCTTCCAGGGCCCGACCCCGGGGACCCGCCGCAGAGACAGGGCTTTCCCGACGCCGCCGCAGGTCGCAAGGGCCGCCCCCGCCGCGTCACCCTGGGGCCCAGGGGCGCAACGCCCGGGCAGCGAGGCGAGGTGCGGCCTCTCAGCTCCAGGACCCGAGACCCCCAGCTGGAGAGAAGGGGACACCGTGGTCTGCGCCCCGGGGAGGCTAATTGCACAAGAACGCCCCCCTCTTCCCCGCCCCCCACTGTACCCTCTGCAGCGCCACCCGCGTCGCCTCTCCGCCGCGCGCCACCCTGAGGGCTCCCGCGATTGTATCTTCTTAAGCACAGTTATCAATGCGTTCGGCTTCGTTTCTTACTCTGGTGGAGGTGTCGAGGAGGGAAGCGAGAGGACAGGGATGTGGGGGTAGGCGGAAGCAGGGGCGGGAAACTGAGCAGAGAGGTGGGAGACGTGGCTGAGGCAGTGGCACTGGGCTGGGCCTCCCGGAGTCCGGAGTCCGGGTCCGCCAAGCAGGCCCGGGTGCAGCCGCCCTCGGCCGAGTCCTGCACGTCCTCTGCACTGCGGACGCGCGGCCGAGGAGCGCCACTCACACCTCCGCACCCCTGCAAGCTCCCGCAGTGGAGGGGGCTCCGCACCAGCCGGGTCACAAAGTACGTTCCCCCAACCCCCACCCTCAGGTGAAGAGGACGCTGCCTGGGGCTGTCAGCTGCTGGCTGCCAGGAGACCCCTCCGGCCTCTTGGCTTGACCCTGGTCCTCACTGGCTCGTCGCTAGCTGAGCTGCGCTAGCAGTTCTCTCGGCAGCGGGTTCCCCAGGACACACCCCGTCCCCACCCCCAAGAGCTGGCGGCCAGCTCAGGATGCCAGGCGGCCAGGCGGGCGCCCTGCCAAATTCCGCGTTCCTCTCCAGGAGACGAGGAGTTGCGTCCCAGGCTCGGGAAAGCCCGCAGTTCGGGCTTGGGACTAGCTTGCAAAGCCCCCCAAGGCGCCAGGGACGCCTCTGCAGGTTGAATTCCTGCTCCGTATCACTTCAATTTTAATTAATCTTTTAAAACACCGCTGTCACGTCGCTTGCAGAAAATTAATCAAACTTGAATCCTTGTTGCATAGCAAGAATTTCGATCTGAGTCTTTTAAAAAGGACTTGACTTTGCAAAGTCACGTCTTTTACAGCTCCCTCATTCCCCCTTTTAGCAAGGGAAATATTGCAAAAGTCAAGACATGTTTGTTTGGTTCTTTCTGTCTTCAGAATGAAACTTTGCTTATTTCTGATCTTTATTTTCCTGTCTTTGAACAAAAAAATAACGAGATAAATTGCCCACCTCGGTTAATTCAAAATATAATTACTTTGAATGATCTTTGTTTAAGAGCCCAGATAAACTAAGATAATCTTAATTTTAATGTGACACGACCCCTATTTTTCCTTGTGAATAATGAGAATAAAGCAGTCATTAATTAATACCAAGATATCTCCATAGAAGATAGTATCTGGTCTCACTGAGACACTGAAACATCAGTTGTATTAGTAATTGATACTGTATAATTGAACATGAAGATAGTCGTCTATTTGTAACCTCAAAGCTCAGAGTTTATTTGGTGATTACTGAGCTCCTAATAATTAATTTTTGTTCCTTCTTACTGCATAAATAATTCTTACAACTCCCAGTTCCCATGCAATACAGAGGCTTCTTATTAAAACCTACCCCTCAAAATATAAGATTGTGAAGCTATGTTGTGCAGCAACTCCTTCCGTTTCATTATTCGTAACATATTTGCTCTATTTTATATCTCCCTAGTACATTTTTTTTTGCTGTAGTTTGCTTACTAAATATATGAGAATATAACTATAACGTATTTTACCACAGCTTTGTGTTTCTGTGAGCTCTTGGTTCAGTTTAACACACAATACTTAAGACTTCAATTTTTCAAGTTTCTAAAATTTGAGGATGAGTCCCATTGAAGAATCGAAAATTTTGTATGGTGAAGTTGCCATAGATTATATCTCAACCCAACACACAGTCCACTTTATCTCACACTTTTATGTTGTTAAAAATAGACTTTGCTCAAACACCTTCCCTTTTTCCAACCTGAGTTGAAGATCAGTTCTCACAATTTCCTGGGTTAAATGTACATGCTAACACAGCTTTTGATATTAAAAAACAAATTCCCCTCCCACGTTGGAGAGAGTTCTTCCAAACAATCATGGAAATTTAGACAGTAGCTTTAAGGTGTCTAATTATTTCTTAGCATCAGCTATTTGGGGGCATCAAAATGACCGTCGCTTTTTAAGTGGAAAGGGTTATGACATTTTTCTTACACATACAAAAAAAAAAAAAACTCCCTACTTACTTTTCCAATAAAGTGTCTCCCAAGTATGAAATGTTTTTTACCACGTAAATATTCTTAGTACCTCGGCTACCAAATCCATGCATTTTCTTAATTGTCAGTGCTCTATCTAAAGTGTTGGAAAGTGGATAGGGTTTCCACTTTTATTTCCCCGTTAGTACAAATAAAACTTTAGCGCAATACATAACGGAGTGATTCTCTCCACTTGGATTTTATATTTTCCCACTGTAATTTGGACTGAAATGGGATTAAAACAGGATCTAGAGTTCTAATCTTGGTTGATGTTTTGGTGTATTCACCGTAATGAGTCCTATTCCCTGGGGTCATGAAGCTCCCAAATGTCAATCAAGCAAACTGATTCAGAAATGCCATTGTTCGACTCCCACGTCACTCGCCTTCCTCTCATTTTATTGAACAATACGAGAGTTCTCTGATCAGTCATTCGGAATATGAGGCATTATCTGGGGAAAATTCACAAAGTGTCTTGATCTTTCTTTGGGAGATACTGTTAAGGGGTTTCCGCAATGCAGCAAGTGCTTGTTTATATTTCTGTCTTTGGACGGCACTGTGGATGGAAGGAACCAATGAATACTGCTTGAAAGAAAATCATACCGTAAATCCGTCAAAAATTAATTCGTCCAGTTGAACGTTACATTTCTATTTTCGTGTTGGAAGCACCCTGATTTGTCACCAGAGGAGAAGTATGACCCGGTCTGGGTCCAGTTGACATGCCCTCACGTTCAACCCTGTCTGTTTTCACCACTTAATACTATTAATGTGTTTAGTCTACGCTAGTTAACTAGGAATTTATTTGGGGGCGAGGAAGAGCCAACCTTTGCCCCGGGAGTTCTACCCAGCCCACTCAGATACCTCCGGGAGTCTCAGCAAGTCTCATTTCCCAGTCGCAACCCAGGGTCATTCCTGCCTCCGTCCTAGCTCCCGGACAATTCCCAAAGGCAAAGGCGTCGAGCGTGTTACTCGCTCCCACCAGCCCAAATTAATAATCAGCTTAATTCGTGGAGGCTTTGAGCCCCGGTGCTCCGTTCCCTGAAGCCTCCCAGTGCGGAGCCCGGCTCCTGCGAGGACTTCCTTGCAGGGGGCAGGCGCGCAGGGACGGATTTCCTGGGAAAAGCTGTTGCTGGCGTGTTGCTCCTAGAGGGCTGTGGGCAAGGAGGCACGAACCGACGTCCCAGTTCTGGGCGCTCAGATGAGGATTTCTCCAAAATCGCGACAGCCGCTCAGGCTCTGGGTGCTCGCGTTGGCAGCACAGAGCTGCAAATGCACAACCCCGCGCGCCCTGCGCTTCGTCCACGCACACTTAGAGCTGAGGTGACATGGGAAGGAGGCGGAGGTGGGGACGGGGGTGGAGTCGCTCGCTGGTGGAGCATGATCAATTACTTTAAAGTAAAGGGTTCAAAAGTTCCAAGTTACCCTTTAGAGGCGAGAGGCAAAGCTTTCCGCGGCCTGCTTCTCTCTGCCATCAGCGGGTTCCCGGCAGCCGCGCAACCACTGGGGATCTCAGCTGCGGCTTGCAGGAGCCCTTCCCGGGAACACGCTCTCCCGCGCAGCCAGGCGAGGTTGACGCAGCTGCTAGGGAGCAGTTTGGCTGCCCCGGGAGGACCGGAGTCGCTCGGCACAGAGGTGATCCCAGCCCGCGGGGCCCGGGGCGCGCGCTTTTCCCTTTCTCAGCAAGCGGGAAAGGCCTGTTGATAGAGGCGGGCAGAGCGCGGGCGGCCTGGCAGCGCGAGGCTTCGGTGGAAACCTGAGCTCCCTGCGACCTGTTTTGCTAGCCGAGGCGGGGGAGAGCCCCAGTAAATCGCCCCGGAGCAGGCCGTGCAAATTCCTGAGAAAAAGCCCCATAGAAAACACCAAACCCTTCCAAAGCCGTGGCTCTGCCCCTCCCCCGTCCCGGCCTTCCATCCTGTCCCTGCGCATCATCCAGCCGGCCCTCACCTGCGACCTGGCCAAGGGCCTAGCCACCCCTCTGCATCCCCACCTCCGCTCTTAAGCTCCTTCTCCCCCTGACCTTTCTGAGGCCTAGGCGAGGGTAGTCAGGGTGCTGCAGAGGAAATGAAATTGTTCTGGAGATTACAGTGGGGCTTTCAGCCAGAAGGGTTTTTCCCCCTTCTTTTTCTCATGCTTCCATATTAAGTGCAAACTTGTATCTCCCGTCACAAGAATAGCCAAATTTTCTCGCTTATTTGCAGTTTTGCAAAGTTCTACACACAGATCAGTGAACCTTAAGTGCCCTTGTTCAGCCCCACATTGTGGAGGTTTGTCAGGGTCCCTGGGCAGTGAGCGTAATGACAGGTGAATCCAGCAGCCCCAGAGGGAGCCCGACCTAACCCCAACACTTACAATAGGCCAGGGGGCCCGAGGCTCCCCACACAGCTTCCAGCAACAGGTACCCTACACCAGGGCAGCCCTTCAGGGTCCTTCAGCTTAGGCCCTGGGCGAAGAAACTGTGCCTCAGTGACCTGGGACAGAGAGGCCCCACCCACATGTCTTCCCCTCAGGAGATTCCTTCTCACCAAATTACTCCTCAGGCACACAAGAATCTGTGCTCTGTGCCACCTGCCCAGACACAGCCAGGCCTTGTTTCAGCTGCAGCAGAGGCCCTCACAGTGTAAGCCTATTGGTGCTTTTGACCTGCTTGTTCTTCTGACATGATTTAAGATAAAGAAGAGGAGGAAGAAAGGGAGAAGAAGCAGGGAAGAAGATGCTGGGGGGAGGAAGACGAGCAGAAGAGATGCAGAATAAAAGATGGCCAAAGGGATCAGCACGAAATGGAACAATTCCTTTCTTATCCAAATAGTCCCATAGCTTAGTCTTTCCCACATTCTAAAAGAAAGATAACTGGTTTCAATAACTAGTAATACTTTCTTCTTCTTTTTCTTTTTCTTTTTTTTCTTTTTTTGCCTGCCCCACCCCCAATAACTAGTAATACTTTCTCAAAGTAACTTTTTTGAGTGATATTTACTCTTTCACCTAACTGGACCCAAACTACCCTTCTCCCCAACCTGAAGAGAGGAAAGGGCCCTTTAGCTTTGGGAAGATAAATAGCTTTATAAGGCATAATAGCCTCCCTGTGGCCAGTCATCTCTCCACAGAAAGCCAGGGAGATTCAAGCTGAGAGAACCTAAGTGCTCTGTTGCTTTACCCATCTCAGCCTTAATCCAGCCAAGGTCAGCCCACATTAAATTCCCAGGAAATGGGCTTAAGGTTCCTCCTCCTGCCTGGACCATCCCCTGGGAAGGAGATCCTCATAGAGAGATACATCCAAATTCCAAGTCCTTACAACCAAACTCCAAGTGGGAGCTATTCATCATTGCGATGAGATTAGAAGGCCGTGGCCGAGAAGCGAGGTGGTGTAGATATATATAAAGAGAAAGAAAGACATGTTTGCTTTTGCCCAACTCTTAAATTCTAGCTTGACCCAGTCCATCCTCAATCGACCACCAGGGTAAAATAGAAATCAGCTTCTGGGTTATCAGAGAGTAGTCGTTGTGTGTGTATGTGTTGGGGGTTGGGGTTGGTGCTTTCTCCAACCCCAGGCTAGTGTACAAGGAAGGATATCACAGTTAGGAAAAGATGGAGTAGAGGGAAAGAGAGGCCGGAGCAGAACCACAGCCCACAGTCACTCTGAGGAACTCATCCTCATTAAAGAAATCCTTTGTATGATGCTGCATGTCTTTCTCAGATTTGTGGCAGCCACACTGAAGGAGGAGGCAGCTGCAGGAGCTGCTGCCACTGCATGCAGGCATCCAGCAGTGTGTCCCTAGCAGCCGACTTGGTGTCCCCAGTGTGAAGAGCCCAGGCTTTGCCCATTAGGCTGTGACTGAAAACAATCCCCCTGCTCCAAGTAGCCACCACAGTCACTACCCCAAATCCCTAAACAGATTCCTGGACTGAGAGAACATAGTTTATAGCATGAATGTCTAAGAGCTAGAGTCAGTAAAAAAAATAAATAAATAACAGAAAATCTCACCCAATTCTGAAATCACTAACACAATCATGTGTGGTAGTGGGTATTTGTCCCTGCGTGGATCACAGTTTCATACTTTGGTCCGCAGGATGACATTTCAAAAATATTCTCCCCTACATAGCACCAAAGGCTGTTTTTATGGCCCGCTATTGTAAACCAACCTTCTGTAAACCATATTGTGTATTTTCCCCTGGATTTCAGTGAAAGAAGAATTGTGCAAAGGCAACTGCTTTGTCCCAAAGCTGAAACAAAGACTAATACACAGGAAAGAGGCAGCCTCTCCAAAATGTACTCTTCTCTGATTTGGGAAGAAAGCTCCTAGAGTGACCAGCCCATAATTGTGGTTGATGTTTAATCCCCCTTGGTACAAAGGCTCATCTTTTCACTAAGCAGAAGCACCATTGAGATATGACTAACCTTTAGGGTTACATCCCAAATGGGGAGTCCAGGGCTTACACTTGGATTGTCTAGGCTTCTTCTAACCTGAACAAAAAGGATCTGGAGAAAATCACATTTTTTCCCTCACAACAAAGCATTCCTAATCACTTCAGCTTGTTTGGTGAATTTTTATTCCCGTGTCCACTTGGGGTATTGAAATCGATCGCTGCAATATTTAATATATTACACTCCTAGGGTCATTGCTCCTAAGACTGAATTCTCTCCCTCATGCCCTCAACTCAGCCTACTTTCTACCCTCCCACTCCCATCTGTCCAGGCCCTCTGTTTATCTGTCCATATAATGCCTTTAATTCTCAGCCCAGCCAGGCAACTTCATGTTTATTCTGTTTTCTTCTGGTATGGAAAATGCTGAAAGCTCTAGGCAGCAGTACACTTAAAAGGGAAAATGAGGAGCTCAGTAGATTGGAGAAAATTAACCTGCCACAAACAGCCTCATTAAAGAACTGCCTACCAAGAGTTAAGAATTAATAGCAAAATGGATGGGAAAAAACCCTTCAGTGAAGACACTGTAAACCTCTTTCCCTGAAAGGTGCATAATTTACAAGCCCAACCTAACATTCAGTTTTATTTCCATTTCCTAGTGACCTGTCCCATAACCTTGTAATCCACAGTGGGGGTGTTTTCTCTTTCAACCCTTTCTTCTGGTTACACACCCATAGGTTTGCAAGCCCAAATATTTTCTGATATTTTTGGTTCCAAAATGCACTTAAATTGTTTAGAGCCTTTTAATTTAGAAAGACACTTTAAGAGACTCCTGGAATACCCTTTGGGAATTGTTAGATGATTTGAAGAGTGTCCTTAAAATAACTGTGTTTGGACAGGAGTGGGACTGAGGGAATCATGGAGAAAGAAGCATGAAAAACCAGAGGGAGGACATTTTGTAGATTTAGTGTTCTGATGGCACTGTGGTTTATTTTGCACATGAAGTTAAAATTTAAGTAAAGCCCATGTATATGGGCTGTAAGTTGCTTTTCTAATGTTTTATTGGGCAGTGTATT